TCCAACTTCCACGAAGTTGGAAAATGGGGCGAAGATCACCCTTGCTGTGAACTGGCATACCCTAGGACTTCCAATAAACTCCTTATTTCTATCTGAGACCTCCTTAGAACAGTCTTTACAGTCCATATTTCTATCAGTGTTCTGCTCGCCACCATGGAACCAGTCTCCAAGACATTCCAAATTTTCCCTGGTCTCTGTCTTCTTCTGAGTCCTCCAAACTCCTCCAATGTTTGCCTAACACCCAGTTCCAAAGCTGCTTCCACATTTTCATGTATTTGTTATAAGCAACACCCCACTTCTCTGGTACCAATTTTCTGTATTAGTCCATTTATGTTGCTTATAACAAAGTACACGCAACTGGGTGATTTATTAAAAGAATGAATTTTTTTGTGTATAGTTTCAAAGGTTTGGAAGTACAAAATCCAGGGAACACATCTGGTGAAGGGTCTCTTTGGTGGTGTCTTCGGTAATGACAGAGTATCACATTGTGAAAATGGCAGAAGCAGAGAGAAAAAAGAGAGAGACAGACTCTCCTCTTCTTTTAAAGCCCCCAGACCCACGCCCCTGACCACCATTTCTAATCCATTCACTACTGCAGTCCTACAATCCAATCACCTCTTCAAGGCTCCACCCCTCCATTACCATAATAGGATTTCCCACCCTCTTAACAGTCACAGTGGGGCTAAGTTTGCAATACATAAAATGTGGGAGACACAATTCAAGCTTCAATGAGTTTTGGGGGGACATAATTCAATCCACTACAGGCTGGTTTTGGTATCAGCTTAGAGTGGCCTCCTGGAATGAGTTGGGAAGCATTCCCTCTATCTACATTTTTTGTATTTTTTATAGTTTGTGTAAGATTGATATAAATTCTTCTTTAAATGTTTGGTAGAATCATCAATGAAGCTATCAGGTCCAGAGCTTTTTTTTGTGGAAAGTTTTTGGATTACTGATTCAATCTCTTGTTACGGATCTATTTGGACTTTTTACATTTCTTTTGAGTCAGTTTCTACAGTTTGTGTCTTTCTAGGAAGTTGTCCACTTCGTCCGAGTTCTCTGATTGGTTTGTGCACAGGGGAGCGGGTCAGCTCAGGGTCCATTCTGCCCTCTCCTTCCCCGCTCCTCCAGAAACAGGTGTGTGGAGCCTTCACATGGTTCCTTTTCTGAGTCCAGATGTAAAAATGAAATGCTCGGAGCACGGAGAGAACACTGCTCAGGGTGCACGAAATGCCCAAGAGCCAGGCTTTCCCCAGAAGGAGGGAAAAGGGCAGGGGAGTCCCAGGAGCGTGGACAGTGTCACTGCAGGAGCCGCTGCCGGGAGGGCAGAACATGGACTGAAGAGAAAGTGACCAGAGACTTCCATGAAGTTTTGCTGGGCAGTAAAATCCCTGTAGGAGAGGCCTTTGAAGAAATTCACAATGAAATCTAAATTACTTGCTAAAGATGTCAAATTTACACCTTGGGGAGTGGCTCTGCTCAAAAGCTAGACCTAGGCCGGGCCCGTGGCTCACTCGGGAGAGCGTGGTGCTGACAACACCAAGTCAAGGGTTGAGATCCCCTTACTGGTCATCTTTAAAAAAAAAGAGTGACACAGGCGTGGGCAGCATGGAGCTCAACGAGGGGTTGGTGAGGGGCACACCAGGGCCTTCAGGGGTGGGGCCAAGGCCTAGGGGTCCGGCAATGCCCACCTCGCCGTGCGGGGCCCAAACTCTCCCACAGTCCAGCTCCAACATACCCGTCTGCTCTCTAGCCTGCTGCTTTGCCTTGCAAAGTTCCCTCTGCAGAATCCCAGCCTGTCAGAGCAGCTAAGTCAGGGGCCAGGGATCAAGGAAGCTGGGACCCCTGAATGGACAGCTTCTCTCTCTAAGCCCAGGTGCACGTGGCAGCCACTCCCCTCAGGCAGCAGGCCAGGCCAGGACATGGGTGCCAAGGCCAGCCACTGTCTCAGGTTATGGGCTGCTCAGGACTTATCCCCAGGACCCAGACCCCAAGGAGACCCTGTCCTTTCCTCTGCTTTGCTGGGTGCTGCTCCTGCCACGGCCTGGGGTGAGGGCCTTATGCCTGCTTCAGGACCACCCAGGGTGAGGCTGCCTCTACCTGGGCCCCCTCCGTCTCAGAGCTCTGTGATAACAAGTGAGACTTGTTCATATGCAAGAAAGTTCTTTCAAAAGTTCCAAGCCCCTCCCCCCAGGTTCGGTTCGCGTCTCCAGGCCGCTCTCCCACTGCCCGCCGCCCTCTGAGCCCAGCAGTCAGGTGAGTGTGTGTGGGGGGGGAGACCAGCAGGAGACAGCAAGGAGGAGCCCCTCCCCATGCAGTTGTCATCCCCAGGCTCCAGTGGCCACCCCCTCTCCTGGGAGCAGCCCTGTCCCAGCCCTCAGGTGGCCCCTTCTTCCGCTCTGTTCACAGCTTTCTAAGGAGTCCCACTGCCACCTGCTCAAATGGGGGGCATCCCTCTGTTTCCTGCCGGAACGCCGGCTGCCACAGCAGTGAGACTGGACAGCAGATGGCTAAGCCTGGCCCGTCATTCACAGTGCCCCGTGCAAAGGGCAAGGTGAGGAGAGGGGGACTCTAGCCCCCCACCTGCCCCGTGTCCTGTCCTCGCCACCTTAGTCACCATGACACCCTGGAAGGCAGGACTTTTCTCCTTGCTTTAGGGAAAAGGAAACTGAAAGTCAGAGAGGTTGCCTCACCAAGGCCACCCTGCCAAAGAGGTGGAGCCCAGGTGCAACCCAGCAGAGCCCTCCTGGGTCTGTGAGCGTCCTGCAAGCTCCCCACGCCAATGGGGACCCTCCCAGGAGCCAGGCAGCCCCTAGAGGGTCAGGCCATGGAGTCTGGAGCTGCCCTCTGGAGAGCATAGTGCCAACCATGCAGGAGCTTTGGGAAGAAGCCTGCCAGGGACTCATCGGAAGTCCCAGGGGCAGGCGTGAGTGAGACTGAACAAGGACCACGCCTGAGCCCTCCTCAGCGAGAGGCGGCATTGACTGGTCTCAAGTAGAAAAAATAATTATACGGAGAAATGGGCCCCTTCCTCCAAGTGGACAGGGCAGCAGAGGAGAGGCTCCCAGGGCTCTCGAGGCTCCTGGCGGAAGCAGGACTCAGCACAGGGATGGCCTGTGGCCTGGAGGTGGTGCAGCCAGGAGGACAGCGGAGACCAGCAGCTGGTGCAGGCCGCTCTGTGCACACAGGGCCTCCCAGAGAGAGTCTGTGTTCACTTCCTGAAGCTGCTGTAACAAATTTCTACAAACACCGTGGCTTAAAACCACACACGTTTATTCCCGTACAGTCCTGGAGGCCAGAAGTCCAAAATCAGCTCCACTGGGCTGGGATCCCCTTTCCTGGCACTTCCCAGCGGCACCTCCAGCTTCCAGAGCCACGTTCCTCGGGCTCCTGGGCTCATGGCCCCTTCCTCCACCTTCAGACCCCCAGCTTCAGGCCCACTGCCGCCTGGTTCTGTGTCTTATGGCACTTGTGATGACATTCTGGGCCCACGAGGATGATCCAGGATAACCTCCCCTCTCAAGATCCTGAATTGAATCACTTCTGCAAAGACCCGTTTGGCATACGAGGGGACATTTACAGCTTCCAGGGATTAGGACCTGATGTCTTTGGGGACTGTGATTTAGCCTACCACAGATACACTCACACAAACGCAACATCAGTGTGGTCACGCAGACACAGGCACACCCATCTCTCACGTCCACACACTGTCGGTGGAACCCCACATTCCACCCGGGGTCACACACGCTCCTCACGTCCAGGCCTCAGCTTGCCGGCCGCCCCAGTCAGGTCTGCAGCCGCGGAGCATCTCCCTGTGCCCAGGACTTTGTTTCCCGGTCACACCTAACACCGTGCACATTCCTTCCACCTGGAAGCCCTTCCTCACTGCTGCCCTCAGAAGGCAGCCTCTCGGGGCCTTGGCCGAAGCTGAGTTCTGAGCCAGCTGCCTCCTCCACACGGCCCACCTTGTTCTGCTGTTACCTGCTCACAGCCTGGCCTTGGCGCCACACCCCATGGGTTCTTGGGGAATATTAATGCAATAAATGAGCAGTAGAAAATCAAAGGTCACCAACCAGAGCTCTTAAAGGGTGACTGTGCGCATGTGCCAAACTGCCTGAGTTTGGGACCTTGGTGACCGTCGGAAGAACCTCCCAGTGCTGGCTGAACTGGAGGGCCCAGACCTGGTGCATGGACGGGGTTAAGCAACTCCCCCAAGACCTGGCTCCGGGTCATCCCTGCCTCTGCGCCCTAGTGCTAGACCCAGGGAAGGGACTCCACGGAGGAGCAAGGGGTATCCTGCTCCAGGTGAGTGCTGGCTCCCAGCGCGGTTACCTGGGGCTCTCCAGGGCCTCTGCCTTGCCCTGCCAAGTCCCTGCAGCTCTATACCCTTGACCCAATCCCCTGCGCCCCACCCTCCTCTCCCCCACCCAACCCCACCCCCGGTTCAGGATTCTAGGGACTCCATCCCCACAGAGGGCAATTGTGGGGCCTGGTCTCCACCAGGGATCACACTCAGCCCCTGGTGCAAGGCCCCCAGGTTGGGTCCCACAAAAGGGTGCAGTGAGCGTGAATGTTGCCAGTGGCCGGGGTGGGGTGTTCGGGAGCAAGGCCTGGCCTAGCCGCCTCTGCACCCTGCGGAGGCCGGCTCTGCTCTGGGCAGAAAAGAAGTAAAGGGAGGGAAGGGGTGAGCGCAGGCCCTTGTGGAATCTGACCTGGCCCGGCCAGGTGTGTGGGAGGAAGGAGGCGGGAAGGGAGGTGTGGAGCACGAAGGCTTCCCTTAACCTGGGATCAGCGGTGACCAGTGCCCACCATGGGGGGACCACACTCCAGCACCAGGCGACGACGCAGTCGGAGGCAAAGCCTTGGAACTCCAAGAGGCTCCAATCGGGTCATGGGGGGCTGGACACCATGGATGACCTGGGGTCCCCCGAGAGGCCGGATCCATCTGAGCTCCTGCCCGTCCTACCTGCTGGAGGATAAAAGGTCTCTGAGGGCACCGGCAGATGGCACGGGGACCCTCCTACACGCGGACGTCCAGCCGCGTGGTCTCAGAGCACGGGAAGCAGGATGCCCTGCGGCGGGTGCAGTGGCAGGGCTGCCCTGGCATGGCACCAGCGGAGGCCGAGGGGACTGAAGGACTGGAGGAAACGGAAGAGTCCGAGGAGGAGGAGGCTGAGGAGCTCGGCCGCCTGCTGGAGCTGCTGTACCGCCTGTACGAGACCCAGGAGGACGCGTCTGTGCGCCAGGCCCTGCGCGGCCTCCCCGAGCTGGTGCTACAGCAAGTGCGCTTCAGCCCCCTGGACCTTGCCGTTCTCAGCTACTGTGCGCGGTGCTGCCCAGCAGGACAGGCCGCCTCCCGAGCCAGGCGTGTGCGTGCCTGTGCACCAGACTGTCCATCTGGGCAAGGGGAGCAAGGCCAGACCCGACGCCCGCTTCCCTGGACGGGAGGGAGGACCTCAGTGCTGCTCTCCTCCAGTCCCTTGCAAGGCAGCTGCTCAGTGCCCATCTTCCCCCCCAGGATGTCCTCACCATGCCCCCCAGCCATCCACACCAAGGCAAACCTCCTCGCATGGCCACACAGCTCTGGCCCAGCCCCCTCCCCATCAAAAATCTCATAGCAGGTTCTGGAAGACACACGGTCCCCTGCGCCCCGAGGCTTTGCACCCCCTATTCCCTCCACCCAGAGCACTCCCAGTTTGCTGCCTGTCCTCAAAGCCTGCCCTGGCTCCCCCAGCTGGCCTACGACCCGACTGGCTCCAGAAGTGCCATGACATCTGTCCTATGCCTGTCTCTCTGTCCAGGGCAAGGCCTATGCCAGAGTTTCTCTGAACTTAGCTCCAGCCAAGCACTAGCCCCAGGCACTTGGCTCCTGTTGAGAGAATGAACGACAGGACATTGGCAGGGGCTGGGCCTTGGGACCCAAAGAGCCACATCAGGGATGTGGCTGACGTGCTCCCACAGACTCACGCAGACACCCCAGAGGGGAGCGGCACAGGCCACGGTTTGGTGTGGGGAACACGGAGGGGGTGGAGGGGCCCTGGATCAGCTCCAAGAGCCCGGAACCATCGATAGGAAGGAGTTCTCGCCAGGAGGGCCTGGGAGGGCCAGGTGGGCTTCACCTTCCTCTCTCTCCCAGCAGTTCTCGAGCCGCCATGAAACAACTCCCAGCCTCCCCGCTTCGTCCACATGACTGACCAACAGTACGGTCTGAGAAGCCTGGTGTAAGTGACCCCCCGCCCCTGCCATGGAGGGGACTCAGAGCAGGATTCCCTGGGCAGAGACAGAAGTGTAGCCTAGTGGGACAGGCTGAGAGCCTGTGGCCTCTGGGGTCCAGTGCTGAGGGTGGGGGGCTCCACCCACACAGGGCAGAGAGGGGAGGGGGATGGTCTCAGGGCTCCACCGCCAGGTTAGGTGCCAGTAGAAAAAGGTGTGGTCCTGGTTTGAGTGGAAAGCAGAGGGCAGGTAAGCACCCTGGCGGGGGTGAGGATAAACAGGTGCTTCCTTCCTTCCCGAGGAGGGCTGAGGGCTGAGGGCTGAGGGCTGGGGAAACTGCTGGGTTGTCCCCCTGGGTTGTTGAAGCCCTGGAGGAAGGTGTGCAGAGTCAGTCCACCTGCAAATCCTGGCTGCCTCTATGTGTCCTTGGGCAAGTCTTTCTGTCAGAGCTTCAGTTCCCTCCCCTGGGAACTGGAGCTAGTAGATTCTGCCTCGGAGGGTTGATGTGAGATTTAACGAGGCTCCCCATGCACAGCACTTAGAATATAAATTCCCGATGACTGCTAGCTATCGCCACGTGAGCAGAAAGTGAAAAAATCACAGGAGCTGGTACTGATGGGGTGTGGCGAACAGGCACAGTCACATGTGGATGGTGACAGTGAATTAGCTTGGTATGGGGGTATGACAAGCAGGAAGTAAGCATAAGGAGCCAAAAAGGAGACCACACATGGCCCAGCCGTTCTCCCGGTGAACTAAATGCATGAAGATGCTCAGCACATCATTGCTTCTAATGGCAAAAAAAATAGAAACAACACAACTGCCCGACCAGTAAATAAACTGGGATCTACCTCAACCTGCTGCACAGAGACGTGGCAATCAAACATGCTGAAAACAAGGTCTGTCTCAGCTCATCACAAAGCTGGTCGAGAATAACATTGTAAGGGGGAAGTAGAGGCCAGGCCCCAGTGTGCACAGAGGCCAGGGCTCCCCAGGGACACGTGCCCGCAAAGGGCGAAGCAGGCTCTGTGTGGTTGGTCCAGGAAGTGGGTGTGGAGCCAGCACCTCTATGGACCGAACCCCAGGCCACCAGGGAGCAGGCAGTTTGTGCAGCTGGAGATCAAGAGGTGGCCGGGAGGCCTGCGAATGGATCCATGTGCTTCCTGACCACAGGCTGTGTTGGAAATAAATTGAAATGTAGGGGGGACATAGAATATAAGTAGTAGAATTGTAGAAAAATATAACCTTAATGTACACAGTCTTGTAACAATACATAAGCAACACAGCTTATCAGGGGCCGTGACAAGGGTCAGGCCCGAGCACACTAAACAATGCATAAGCAACGCAGCTTATCAGGGGCCATGACAAAGGCCAGGCCCAAGCGCACTAAACATTAGTAGCCCCCCACCGGTTCCAGGAAATAGCTGGTTCAAAGCCAGGCCCCGGGGAAGGTAAACAATTGAAAAATGCGCTAAAGGGGTGCCAGCCTGCTAAAACCCACCTGTAAACCCAAAAGGTGCCAGCTGAAGCCCACCTGTAAATCTAAAAGCACCACAGATAACCAACAGTTGATCCTATCACAATATCCGTTCAAAAAACTGTATAAAAGCTGCTTGCATTGTGAATTGGGGGCCGCTCCTGTCCTGAAAACGGGGCGACCTCCAGCATGCCAGAAATAAAAACCTCTTGCTTGTGCATCGATCTCTGTGCCTCCTGGTCTTTGCGAGAGGAGCCTTCCCATCAAGTTAAGACTCGTGCTTTTAGGCCGGTCTTACAGCTGGCCCACTGCAAACTCCCAGACGCCGTCTGGCGAGACCTCTCTGAGGCCCTGAGGGCAGCCCCTGCCCTGGAGGAGCTGGGCCTCTTCCACAACAGGCTCAGCGAGGCAGGCCTGCGTGTGCTGTGCGAGGGCCTGGCCTGGTCCCAGTGCCGGGTGCAAACTCTCAGGTGAAGCCTGGCCTGGGAGGGACTGAGGGATGGGCCCCCCGCTGGCTGTAGCTCCTGAGGTCAACCCTCCTCACAGGGTGCAGCTGCCTGGCCTGCAGGGAACACTGCACTACTTGGTGGGCATGCTCCGGCAGAGCCCTGCCCTGACCACTCTGGACCTCAGTGGCTGTCAGCTGCCTGGCCCCCTGGTGACCTACCTGTGTGCAGTCCTACAGCACCCAGCATGCAGCCTGCAGACCCTCAGGTGGAGGCAGGGGCCATAAGGGTGCTGGGGACACAGCCTGTCAACACCAGGGTGGGGGTGGGTGCCTGGAGGCTTCCCCTGGACCCTGAAGAGCAGCCCCTCCCAGGGACCTCCCAAGTGGCCAAGCTCAAGCACAGATCTGGAATCCCACCCCTGAGAGACCTACCCTCTGAAGCCCTGGCCCTAGAACTGGGCCTCAGCCACTCTGCCCAACCAAATGTCCATTTATTGTCTGGTGCCCATGGCCACAGTCTGTGCCAGTGATCCCTGCACCCTTGTACTGCCCTGAAGGCCCACAGCCCCTGTCCCCTTCCCTAGCATCTAACAAACCCTCTGACTGACCACCTTCTGTCAATGTGTGCCTTTGACACAGCCCCAGCCAACAGCATCCACTGCCCCACTCTCCACTGTCCCCCCAACACTGCCCCCCAGCCCTGGCCTCTTCTCTCCCAACTCACCCACCCCCTTCTGTCCTGTGCACATGGCTGCAGCCTGGCCTCCGTGGAGCTGAGCGAGCAGTCACTACAGGAGCTGCGAGCCATGCGCACAGCAAGGCCAGACCTGTCCATCACACATGCAGCGCTGGACAGCTCTGCTGAGCCTCCCAAGGGGGCTGACAGCATCCTCTGAGGCCCTGGAGGCAGAGCGGGGTGGAGGGCTCTAGTCAGAGCCCTGCAGAGCACATCTCCCCATGCCAAGGGCGGGAGGATGTCACTCTCAGCCTCTGGGCAACTCTTTTGAGCCCAGAGGCCCCAGACAGGTCTGGGACATGCCCCGCCCCACACCCTAAGGGAGTCCTCCTCCCCCAGCCCACCACTGCTCCACCCAGCTTCTTGTCCTGGGAACCTCCAGCCATGCCCCTTCCAAGATGCCCCCAGCACCAATGAGGAGGGAGAGAGCTCCCAGTCACTGTCCCTCCCCAGGAATGTGGGTCTTGGCATTAGGAGTGAGGCCATCCCCGAGGCTACGTGGCCTGAGCCCAGAGGCGTCCACCTGCCGTCAAGATCTTCAGGAAGGGAGACTGGGGGGAGTGGAGACAGAGCAGGCGGGAGCCATGGCGGCGGGGTGGGTGGGCAGTCCCGTGCACTGATCATTAATTCTCCTTCAGATTCGTTTCTGTTGGTTTCTGTTCCACTTGACTAGGTGTCCTCGCAGGTGCCCACAATCTTTCCATCAACCCACCTGTATAGTGCAGGGTTGTGGCCCAGCTTAGCAACGAAGAAACAGGCTTGGGGGACCGTTCGAGCTGCAGAAAGCCCTGCGGCGAGGCTCGGCCTTGATGGAAAGAGCCAGCAGCGGAAGGCCCGTGAAGCCCAGAGTTTTCCCTGCTCAGCCATGCTGGTAATGGCCACCTCCTGAGACCCTGGAGTCAGCCCCTTCACTTCCCAAGGGAAATTCCCTTCCATAATCCCTGCCCTCCTAGAGCTGGCATTCTGGGCAGGGAGACAGACAATAAATACGTATAAGATGCATAGTACACACCTGCAATAAATACACATGTGATACACGAACACACGGCACAATAAATCGTACACGATACATGGCACAGTGCAATAAATACATATATGATACGTAAACGCACAGTACAATAAATACGTATATGATAGATAAATATGTAAAGCAATACAGATAAACACGTGTAGACGGGCTGACAAGTGCTGTGGAGGAGAGTAAAGCACAGCGCCGGGCCGGAGAGGATGCGCCGAGGGCCTCCTGCTGCATGGAAGCGGGTCTCGGGAGCTCTGACTGAGAACAGAAGCCAGGAGCAAACCCGGGAGAGGCCAGGAAGAGGCGCACCGTGGAAAGTTCCAGAAGCAGCAAGGAAACCTGGTGGCCACAGTGGAGTGCGGGGGGACAGGAGGTGAGGTCGGGGAACCGAGGCAGGGGTGGGGATTGGTGGCCGTGAGCACGCGAGTGTGTCGTCTGAGGGCAGGGCCTGACCTCACCATCCCCCACCCTGCTCTGTGAACAGCGCCAGCCGGCCGGGGAGGGTGTCCTGGAAGGTGGGGCCAACTGGGCTGGTCCACGGATTGGGTGTGGGGTGTGGGTGACAGCGGAGCAGGGTCTGAGCGGCTGGACAGTGGAGTCGCTGTCACCTGTGCTGGGGGAGGCCTTGGGAGGAGCGGGCTTCCCGGGACACGCTGAGTCTGAGCGTCTCCGGCTGGGCCCAGTGGTCGGAGCAGACATGGGTCAGGCAGGGACAAGACAAGCCCAGGGCTGAGCCCAGGAGCGTCCAGGCGGGGAGGTGGGGAGGTGGGGACCGAGCTGGACGCCAGGCGGGGCGAGCATGAGGGTGGGGTCCCTGACAAGGGAGGGATGCCCCAGGAGGAGGACCGGCCAGGTGCCCTGGTGAGGGAGGCACAGAGCACCAGGAGGGTCGGGAGAGGGACATAAACCGCCCACCGCGAACCAGCACAGCCGGGCTCTGCCACCTCCAGCCTCCAGACGGCTGTGCGGCAAAGGTCGCCCTTCTCACCCAGGTCCCCGCGTGCCCCCTTCGAGCACGAGACTCCCAGGCCCACGGACGACCTACACGGCCTCGGCCGGGGCGCGGGGGCTTCGGCGTGTGCCACGTCCGCCGCAGGTCGCGCCCTCCAGGCGACCGTCCCGGCTGCCCCGCCCCCGTGGGAGCCCCGCC